ATCGACTTTAATAATCTTTAGTTGGGTGTTAATTTGGAAATCAAAAATTTTTTAGTATGGACATTTTTCATTTTCAATGCAATATGCCTAATAAATGAAAAAAAAAAAAAATGTTAAGTATGCATAGTTTCGATCATATTAGACACAATTTAAAAAAAATATTTCTGCGAAACATTTATTCGGGATAAAGTAATTTCCATTAAGAGTTAAGAGTTACTAAGAACAATGCATGTTAAGAATCAAAACGTTGATATTTAACATCATTCAATTAATTATATGACATTTATTAACGAAAATCTAAACTAAGCAATGATATTCTTAAATAGAGTGAAAATGCAAATTTTTCTATTAAATGATCTTATATCTTGCACATAACCTCATACTTCAAGATTATTATCTTACACAACGGTGCGTGCAAATGCGGTGTGGTCAAATACGATATATATTGCAATTACGGTAGTTTAGTGCAAAATTGGCAAGTGCGAATACAGTGAACTCAAATACTATGTAAATACGGTTTATGGTGCAAATAGATACTAATACAGTGACTGCAAATACGATGAGGTAAAAAATTGCGGTAGTTTAGTGCAAAATCGGTAATCTCGAATACAGTAAGCTCAAATACAATAAGTGTAAATATGATTTATGGTGAAAATACAGTATCTGATGATTTCCAATTATTACAATTATGAAACATAGAAACAAAATTAAAATAAATAGATAAAATTAGATTAAAAAAGGATAAAGCAAAAAAAATCAACAAAATTAAAGATTCAAGAAACAAAATTAAACTATAATTAATATTAAAAAAATAAAATAAATAGATAAAATTAAATTAAATTTAAAAAAATTATACCGTCAAAAAAAGAAATTGAAAAGATTAATTAAAAATTGCACATTTTCCATTATAAAAAAAAAGAACAAAAATAAAAATTAGATAAATAAATTAAAAGAAGGATTCAAAATTAAGAAATATATTTAATTAAAAGGAATTAAATAGAAGAAAAAATTTATAAAATAGTGAAAATATATTTAAAAAATGTGCCTTCGTCTGGACAGGATTCAGACTGGGCGTCTGGATCCAAGCCAGAATCCAGCTTTTAAAGAATCCTAAGTTTGTGTTCATTATTATTATTAGTGGTAATTACATGAAACCATACTTTAAGTTTTTAAACTTCTAAAATCAGATTGAAAATTAATATTTCCAAAATCAGATATTTTATTTTAATTAAAATCTTTATAAAAATAAATATGCTGCAATTAATCATAATTCTCACCTCCTCCTTTCTCTCTCTAAATCTCGCAGANAAATCTCACCTCTCGACCCCCCCCTCCATCTCTCTCCCTCTATTCTCACAATTCTCTCTATCACAAAAAAGCATAGGAGATCGCCGTCGACAAAGACACATGAACTATCGTTGCCTGTCGGAGATCGCCACCGACGAAGACACTCTCAGGCACGAGAAGCCGCTGCGTGCAGCTCTGCACAGTTCGGCGGTGGATTTCGAGGCGGAGGTGGTAGATTTCGAGGCGGAGGCGATGGATCTGATGGAATTACTAATTTTCAGTTCAGGCGAGCATGTTTGTTTGGATAAATGAGTAGATGAGTGCCAATGGATAGTTGTTTTCTCTCCACCTCAGCTCCTTCAGACTGATTTCTCTCCACCTCAACTCCACCCGTCTCTGGCAGCCGCTTCTTTCCACCAATTTCACTTTTGCCTGTCCACCACCATTCACGCACCCACACTGCCACACCTCCCATTTTCAACAACCACAACAATAGACAATGAAGTAAATGAAATTGTTAATTATGTTGTAGAGTCACTGCCACGCCTCCCATCTTCAGCAACCACGCCTCCCATCTTCACCGACTCCGAACACCCACCCACCACCGCGAAGAACTTATACTCACTCCCTCTGGTTCCTCAATAAGGACAATGAAGTAAATGAAATTGTTAATTATGTTGTAGAGTCTGCTATTC